CACATGGAAAAGCATGACAAAGGAAAATGCTTGACCAAAGAGCTGCACTGAGATGGACCGTGGCACAGGAGTCATCGTGCACACTCATCATGAAACAAAAACAGTTCTGCTGACAGCACAGAGCATTAGCCAGCTGATCTCAGCAGCACACACACACACACACACACAGGCACACACACACACACACATTGACAGGGTTAGTGTGAACTGCGGGCCTCTCATACTTCTGGGTTACCTCTTGACTTCATTGTAAAGTGTTAGTTTCATCTTACATAAAGGCATAACAAGAGATAAAGAGCAAAGAGTGCAGCCTCATAAATATAAAACCAATCACAAGATGAGTCCCACTGCTTCAGGAGACACACACACACACACACACACACACACGTTTTGCAACAAACGTCTCAACTCGCATTTTGTAATTTAACTAGATATGGAAATTATCATCTTGTGCATGTTCATGTTTTGCAATGTTAAAGGCAAAGTGTGGTCTTAGTGCAGCCACACACACACACACAAGCCCGTTCAGCTATCATAGTGAGGACCTTCATTGACATAATGCTTTCAGTAGCTCCTTACCCTAAACCTAACCATAACCTAACCATAATCTAACCATAACCTAACCATAACCTAATTGTAATCCTGACACAAGTATAGTAGAATGCAGATTTTGGTCCTCACAAAGATAGCTAGACAGGAACACACACACACAAACACACTCACACACACACACACACACTCACACACACACACACAAACACACACACACACACACACTGAGAGGTTGCCAATCCTTACGTACCTCATTGGTCTATTTTCCGTGACTCTGAGTGTGCTTTCCTGTCTTTGGCACAGCATCCTCACGGAGAACAATGTCCCATTAAATTAGCAGAGTCGGGAAGTCAACACACCAAGGTGACTGCCTGAACTTCCTCCTGCGCTCTTTCCATGTTCTTTAGACACACACGCACACATCTTTACCAAACTGATAGACTGACTTTGGGCTCCTTAAAGATAAGACAATCATCTACATCTCATTTTAAGCAGAACACTAACACTGAGTTTGTGCCACAACTATTTTTATAGTCTCTATAGTCCATCCATGCATCCACTTTCTTGTACTTATCTAAAACTAAACTGACTCCGTGGTCTAAGACAACATGCAGCATCTCCATGAGAAGCCTTTCAGTGATCATGTGACAGAAAACAAAGCAACCAGTGAGCAAAGAAGTCGCTTCAGTCTCCAGATCCTCCAAAACTCTGTTTTCCAGTTTTCTGAAATATTTATTTTGGATAACAGAAATATTTTTATAGAATATAAAACTGGTGTGTGAACCGTCCATCACAAAAAAGTATTGAAGTCAACATTATAAACTTATTGAAGGAGCTCAATAGCGCACAGGTTGCATATTCAAATATATTTAAGGTACAATTTTTAATGACACTTTTTCAGGGCAGCACGGTGGTTAGCACTGTTGCTAACAAGAGGGTCCTGAGTTCAATTCCACCATCAGGTCTTTCTGTGTGGAGTTTGCATGTTCTCCCCGTGGGTTCCCTCCAGGTACTCCGGCTTCCTCCCAAAGACATGCAGTTTGGAGGGAAAGGTTAACTGATTAATCCAAATTGCCCATAGGTGGGAGTCAATGGTTGTCTGTCCCTGTGTGTAACAGACTGGCCACCTGTCCAGGGCGTACCCCGCCTCTCGCCCTATGACAGCTGGGATAGGCTCCCGCCTATAAACGGAACCGAATGGATGGATTTTGAAATCATATAGGAGATGTCATTGGCTTATAATTATTGATTTATTGATGTGTATATCTCTTTCATGTTGATAATTGTCATTACTTGTATATCGCTCTGTGCAGTTAGATCTATAATGAATTTACAGAACAAAAATCTTTAGAAGAATTCGTTTGTACAAACTAGTGCTGCTGTCCTGTGATCGCTCAGATGGTGTCCTATCCACAGCAAAATACCTTCTCTGCTGGCTGCAAGGATCCTGATGTTTATTTATACGTCATTTCTTTAGGGGATTTAAAAATATTCTGATTCTGATAAAATATGTAAAAATGTCATTACAAAGATATGTGGAATGACACTTTTTTACTTAAGCACCTATTTGTGCCGTCTCTGTATGTATGTGATGAATATGGGTGCAAACGGCAGAAGAAGCTGTTGGTTTGTATAAAACAAAAGTCCATCCTGGAATCTGGAAAACCAAATCTACTGTTTACTGGGACATGCAAATTATTTCTGGAATAATAAATGGTGTGGTGTCATTGGAAGGAAGTGTTGGAAGTGTACCTGGGAGTATTTTAAGTGTGGAGAGATCCAGGCTCGAGGTTTAACCTGCTTAAGTGATTTTCAGCACCCACTGCATTGTCCTTGACTTCAACATAAGACACAATGAATTGTAACTAGGCAGGTATTTTCCAGCACCCCCGCCCGGCAGGAAAGCCAAACTCCCTCATCTAAGGTCAAGTTTACCCAAGATACTGCAGCACAATACCTCAATAAAACCACGAGAACAGAACACAATGGACGCAGACCCCCCCTCCTCTACATGCTCACACTTAGCTCTCAGTGCTAAGACTTTGATGCTATCATCTTCCTGCTGACCAGATGGTTTTCCACGACTCTTAGAATCATCCCATGTGTGCAATTACTCGCTTCATACGACAGCAGAAAAGCATCTCCACTTTCCTCACCTGACCATCCCCCATCCCTGCAGTCCTTTGTCCCGGCCCCACCGAGTTCCTGTTTTGACAATAAAGGCGGTGTAAGGGGAGACAAACACACAATACATACAGCAAGTACTACATTCAGTACACAAGGTACATGTCTGGAGCCCAGCTGGATTCAAAGTTGCCGTGATGGAAAGAGGAAGAGCCCCGCCCTCTCTTCCATCCCTGCATTTGCAGGCCTGAATTTATGGGAAAAGAGAAAGATAGGCTCCCTTGGCTGGAATGTTATTGAGAAAGGGAAGATATGGTGGGTGGAAGATGGAACAGAGAGGGGAATGAATGACTATGGAGGCGAGCGTGAAGTGTTTCTGTACAGGAATGCTTTACAGGGCGGGCCAGGGTCAGGAGAGGCATGTCACACATACAAAATATTCCAAACAAGTAAAGTTCGGAAACTGCAACGCTCACTGCAGAGTGATGGGACCGCTATTCCAGAATGTCGCCTGCAGACAGCGTGCTAGAAGTCATGAGGTAATAAAAACACAATGGTTCAGAAGCAAATGAGCGCTGTGGTAGACGAGCTCGATATCAGAATGCAGAAATAATAATCCCACTGCCTTCCTGCTGCGACTGCTCCCGTCTCTGGAGGACGATGACGCAGAGTTTCCAGGTTAACACGATATGACAGCGAATGGGAGCGTGCAGCAGCCTGCAGAGACAAACACGGTTCAACCACAAATGTCCCGGAGCTCTCTCCTCCCCTCCGCATGTGTGTTAAGCACATCTTAATGATGGCAGCAGAAGGGTCAGAGCAGCTTTGTGCGCACACTGTAATTATGTTGTTTGCCCCTTTTGTCACAGCTGACATCCCACACAAACTTTTTCCTTTCATTCCTCGGAGACAGCTTCGTGTCTTTACTCAGAATCGTCTGTTTATGATGGCCTCTAATGGCTGCACTGTGTGGAAAACCTGAAGTGAGTCACACGGCTCGGCTTGGTTAGCCTGTGGGTACTTGCACACATCGACAGAAAGAGGAACAATGCACAAACACACATAAATCATTTCATGATAGCAGAGACATACCACTCCTTGTACCAATACTCCTAAAGCTAAAATTTGTGACTTCACCACATTCATCCTGTATGAATCTGGATACACCAACCAGCAGAACCACAACGCTGCTCTGGACTGTGATATGTAACAAGCAGTGTTGGTCAAGTTACTTGAAAAAAGTAATCAGTAACTAATTACTGATTACTTCCCCAAAAAAGTAATCCCATTACTTTACTGACTACTTATTTTCAAAAGTAATTAATTACTTAGTTACTTAGTTACTTTTTAAAAACACGATTTACAACCTGAATAGGAGATAAAGATCTTTCAGCCCAATTCTACTTTTTCTACATAATCATCATACAAAATGTAATCAAATGGAAAAGTCTCTTTTTAAAACTTGTTTTATTAGTTTTAA